TTACACTCATAATTGAAATAAGCATAAATGTAGAAAGAAGCGTCTTGTACTCCAATAATGAAACTACCACATTTTTTTTGCAACACGCATAGCAATTCAGTTCATCCCAGAAATGTTTCACTGTTTAGATACTTCCATCTTTGTCCTCCATTGTTTATTGCTTTATGGAAGCTTTCTAGGATACAAACAAACAAACATCTCCCCATTTACAAAGTGGCCGGCCTTTGAATGGGGAAACACCTTTGTGTGTGTATCTATATATATATATATATATATATATATATATATGTATGTTCTGCTATTCTGCTAAGTTAAAACAACTTTGCTAATCAGATGTTTTCTTGAAGTATTCACAAAAAGATAGCCATGAGAGTATACCACAGTAGCATTATGAGAGAAATGTGGAGTTCAGGGAGGGAAACCGATACTGTGACGTAAATGCATATATAACGCAAAGGGGACATGTTCATTCATTATTTGGACTCTGCTCTGTAGCAGTGTTTAAACCTTTTTTTTTTTTTAAACCTGTTTTACCTGGTAAGCATGTGAATGGGATTCTTAAATTCAATTAGAAAACTACAACAAATTTAATTTGCTTTGGTGGAGCAAATCAGTAAAGCTGGCCAGGTTTTTGCGCTGTTAATTAACATTATTAATAAACATGCCTCACAGTTACTGTGGCCCTAGATCACAGGTGACGTGTTGTGTGGTATTTTCTGCTGTCACACCTACTGATAAGAGAATTTCCCTTCAGGGATCATATCATTAACTTTTGTAAAATATGTACAAATACACTGAAATAGAGATGCAATTTGCCTTTAATACTTTGTATAATAAAAGACATAACAAACATACTTGAGAATAAACATTTGTTATTACTTCTGCATTCAGTGAGAAATGTCGCGTTCCTGCGTGGTGTGACCGTATCCTGTGGAGAGGGAAAAATGTAGTGCAAGAACATTATCAGAGTCACATGGCTCTGAAGACCAGTGACCACAAACCAGTCAGTTCCCTGCTTGTCACTGGGGTAAGTGCATCAGCATTTTTAACAGACTTCATCTTTAATTTTTTTTCTTTTTCATTTGGTTTATTTTGGTTAGATACCTGCATGAAAGTTTGAAAATGAATGGGACTACGATGAGAAGTCAGTGAAAAGTACATGAAGATTTGACTTTGTCTGCTCACGTCTTTTTTTTTTTTTTTTTTTTAAAGACTGGGTCACTGCAGTATTATTTATTAGTTATATAATACATGTGTATGCTTTATTGTTTCCTTACCTCTGACTTCCTCCTATATATTCATTTAGATCAAGAGACTAAATGCTGAGGCTTATAAGAAGACCTTTGAAGAGATTGTACGCAATATTGACAAAATGGAGAATGAGTGTATTCCGTCTGTATCCTTGTCCGAGCGTGAGGTAAATTTTCCTGTCACTTTCAGTCCTGTTATATTGTAATGGGATCATTGTACATTACATTGCCATCTCATTATGTTGCGTTGATGAATTCACTAAGTAAACCACCACTAATGGAGCTGTATATTGATCTTGGGCCCTGGGCCTGATGCAGATAATTAAAGGATACAATTACATGCCATAGAGAAGATTTTTTTTTTCATCTTGTCATGCATCCTTTCCTCTTCTTCCAGTTCCACTTTAAGGATGTGAAGTTCATGCAGCACCAAGCAGAGACATTGAGCCTCTTTAATGATGGCCAGGTCCCATGTCAGTTTGAGTTTATCCAGAAGCCAAACGAGCCCACATACTGCAAGCCCTGGCTCACAGCCAACCCCCCCAAAGGCTTCATTGCTCAGGGTGAGTAGCATGGTCACAGTTTCATCCAGGAGCCACAGATTTCATCTTAATAAAGCATCAAAGTCCTGCCTTTAGATTTTACAAATTGTTAAGTACACCATAAGCTGAAGTTAAATTGCTTAGAATGAGAGATTTTCATTGACACTTGAATTGGCTTTTGTCTTGCACGATGAAATTTCTTTGCAGATTATGGATGTCTTGTTGATTTATAAATCCTCAAATTTATTATAATTTGTGAGTCAGTTGAGTCATCCCTATGTGCATCTGTCCCCAACATCTAGGTGCTTCTGTGGACATTGAGCTCGAGGTTTTTGTAAACCGCTCGACAGCACCTGAACTTAACTCTGGCAAGCAACAGATCGAAGACATCCTGGTGCTCCACTTGGAGCGCGGCAAGGACTATTTCATCTCTGTGACAGGAAACTACCTGCCCAGCTGCTATGGCACCTCCATCTATTCATTGTGTCACCTGAGGGAGCCCATCCAGGACATGCCGCAAGAGACTCTTCATAAACTGGTTAGTGCTCACAAATGAAGAGCAGGGACAGCATCCTTAAAATACCTCTTCCGCATTCAAGGTTGTCTTACAGGCTACAGCATATTTCTTTTATAACTTTGCAGATTTGCTATTAAACACAGTCTTGTCCATTTTCACTAAATTTCTTCTCTTTGCTCTGTGTGTGCTCAACATCAGGCGGAGATGTCTGGAGATGAGAATGCAGCAAACACTGAAAAGCCTCTAGACATTCCTAAAGAACTCTGGATGATGGTGGATCACTTGTTCCGTAATGCAATAAAACAGGTCAGAGAATCTGATGGTGATGCTAATGTTTTGGTGCCGTAATAAAATAAAAAAAACACTATAATCCTATTTAGTTAATGTTTGGCAGTTTTCTTGTTGGCAGGTTCATATTCTTAAAGTGAGTTATGTAACTCCTGACCACCTGCCAAGTTTATGAGCCTTTCCTATAAGGACAAATAAGTGAAAGTTGCTACATGACAGGAATTAAGCAAAAAAGTTTCTCATTTTTCTTGAGGCTACAAAGACAATGGTATGACTCAGTATTTGTGCCTGCCAGCCAAGTAGCTTTGTAGACCCTCTGCATTGATTTGGTGAGGGGAATTAATCTTGATTTATAAAGGACTTGATTCAGGTAGTTTAAACATGGGAATTTTTATTAAATCAAAAGTTCATTGCAGCTCCACTACGCCTCAAAACATAAGAACATTTTCTTCAGCCCAAGTGAACCTGTTTGTAATTTAACTGCTTGAAATTACTGCTCTCTTTGGGAAATGAAAGATTCAATATGCGTTGTCTTCTATTTGCAGGAAGACATATTTCAGCAACCAGGGCTCCGGAGTGAATTTGCAGAAATAAGGGATTGCCTTGACACTGGCATGCCAGATTCTCTTCGTATCCTTGAAAACAATTCCCATCATAACCTTTAGTGGAAAAAATATTATTTAATTTCATTGAAAATTAGAAAAAGTAACAGCGCGTAGTCCAAAGATATTATTTGTTGTTTTGGCATTGTACCCTAGTACACTGGGTTTGAAATGAATCAATGATGGAGGTCACAGAGTTGACTTTAAACTTGGAGGCTTTTTAGTGGATGAACACTGTAGGAATTATCACATCCAGCTCCCCAGGATTATGTCTTTAACTCTATTGACCTGCAGCGGGAAGTAACCACTCAGTGGCAGAGGCCTTGCTCCTCTTCCTTGATGCCCTCCCAGAACCTGTGGTTGCCTACTCCTTTTACCAGCAGTGCCTAGAAAGCTGTTCCAATGCCAGTCAGTGTGAGAAAGTGAGTGAGGCAGCCAGCAGTTAATCATGATCAATCTATTCCAAGATTTGTTAAATTATAAAAGCCAATCTCTTGCTTTTTTGATGTAACATTAACATTTTGCCTGCAGGTTATTTCCATGCTACCTCAGTGCCATCAAAATGTGTTCAACTATTTAGCTGCCTTCCTCCGTGAGCTGTTGAAGAATTCTGCTAGCAATCGATTAGATATCAACATCTTGGGTAAGAAAAGGAAGCAGGTTGCTCTTAAGTGTCTTTCATTTGTGTACTTGTTATTATTAGCTGTTGCTTTGTGCTTCAGTCAGCATGTTGAGTAAGTGAAGAGAAAGTAAGGAATAGAGCCAAGTCTGTTAGTCTGTTTTCAGTAATCTTTTCGTTCTGTGCTGGTTCTGTAAGAGCAAATGCTCGCCCAACCTGGCCTGTGTAAATAAAGTTTAAATACAGAATAAATTATTGGAACAGGAATTATTGCAACATCTAGAATCCTTTGTTCATTATATTGAATAGATCACCTTGTCATACCTTGAAACATACAAAAAATGAAACTCCTAATAAAGATAGTACAACATTAAGACCTAAGAAAAGGAACCCTTTGTTATACTATGCAATATGAATAATTTATTGTCTTTCTGTGTAGCCACCATTTTTGCCTCTTTGCTCCTGAGATCACCTACGAAGCAGGATCTTGCAGAAAAGAGGAAGACTCAGGAGTTCTTTCAGCACTTCCTCATCCAAGGCTCCTCCTAGATGGAGGACTTCTTCCTCTTGTCCTTCATGCTGAAGCTGAACACTAAAAAATGTACAGTCCAGTATTTGAACAGCAATTATTTCTTATATTCTTATGTGGGTCTTTGTATCGATATAGTATTACTTAAAGTGGCAGTTCTTATCTGATATTAGTTTGTTTGAAAGCAACGTTTGTGATCTGTCAATGAACAGAGTTTATTGTATTTCGCTGAGCATCTGTAGAGACCTAATAATTTTTAATGTATGTATATTTTATTTAAAAAAAAATAGTTTGTATTTTGATGTTTCTGATCTCAATTGCATATTGTTTTATATATAAAACTGTTGGAAACAAGTTGTGTGTCACTGGTGATTCCCCCCCCATCCCCAAATTATTTCATTTTCAGTCCATGTTATCAATCACAGGCAAAGAAATAAACACTAAATTAATGTTTAGTTTTCTCATCATGTGTCTGTGGATGCCCTCCTCATTTAATCCCATTTGCCACATAGGAAGTTAAAAAGTTGTTATATCTTCAGAAAGAATAATGTTTTCATGTTTTACTTTAGCTTTATTAATGATTTTTAATTTCCCATAATACATCACGAATGGCTGCGAGTGTGTGACGTAGGGTATCCTAGGGAGAAGATAGGAAGAAAGTGCCAAACATCTAAAGCACAGAGATAAGGCTTAAATTTCAAAACAGGTAAATGTATTCTAATGTCATTTCCTCTTAACATGCCAGTTTATCCCTTGTAACCACGGAGCTTGTTAGCTCTTGTTAGCCCAGAGAAGATGGGTAATATCAGCTATCGACAGTAAACTCGCTAACGTTACTAGCCAGCTAGCTCCCTAGCTTAGCTAACGTATGAGCTAAATTTTTGCTAGATGACTTAGCCAGCTACCTAACGTTCCTTTAGCAAACGTAGCCGGGGCTCAGGCTAAAGACAAAAAAGCTGGCTGTTATGGCTCTGTTATCAAGTCGCATAACGTTGAAAATGCGAATAACTATAGACTTGTTATTTAAAACACGAAGTACGAACGGTTTGGTATCTATGTGTATTAGCTAGCTAGCAATGAATATCTGAGGCTAGTAACGATGTGATCAAGCTGTACGCTGTGAAATACCATCAGGTCAGTAACCAACCAGAGGATTGTTACACAGCCAGCTAACAGAAATGTTTCATTAAATTGGGTTAATGTTACTGTATTGTCAGTCAAACGGGTAAAACTTGGCAATTACTGCGTGTTTATCAGGCCACTCTGTTTATGAACCGCGCAGCATTGTAACCGTTTGCCAGCTGTGTCGTGTGTGTAGAAAAGTTACGTGACATTGTCGTGTGAATATTACATCTTTCATAAGTTATTCATACCGTTTCATGTAAGCATGCCTGCCTGAGGAGTTTTAATCGGCTGGAGATCATCAAACATGTCAGTTTGTTAGCTGAGTTTAGCCCCTGCTGTCTCGTGACTTCGGTCATTGAAATTAGAAACTTCTAGAGCTCGATGTGTTAGTTTCCTCTAATTTTTAAGAGGTAGCGTTACGTTTTAAATCACTGAAATTATTAACTTTATTTCGATTGTGCCGTGTATGTCTGATTCAGGAGTACACGAATGATTTACATAGGTATTTAGTGCTGTCAAAGCCACTTTGTAGACATGGCACACATTTTTGAGGCCAGTTGTTGGTAAGATGCAAGAGGTGCTTTCTAGAAACCCTGAAGGTTTTACGTCTATCATAACGTAAAACCTTGGTTATAAAAATTTATATAAATGCCTCCTCCATCAATGAGAAATCCTGAATCTATGGATACATTTAAAAATGTAAGATCTCCCCTACATCACTGAAAGTGCATACTCAATGCACTAACATTGGAGGTTTCTGGCTTCTAACCTTGTTGTGATGACACAAATCATGCCTGTAGGTACATACTTTAAACTCAGCTTTAGGTGAGCACTGAGAAAATTTTCCACTTTCAGTAAAATAATTTGAAACCAGTCTTGCAGTTTCAAGCTCTGAACATAACATGCATCATTCTACACAGTAAAGGTCAAACATTCAATAAAAGTAAGAATGACTAAAATACTTTTTTGAGCACAGAGGGGAGTTTAAATTTTCCTTTAATGTCCAAGTTGAGCTCCTTTAACTGAGCAACATGGCTCTTTTTTTTGAATAGATAGTCACTCCTCTGATGCTATGTTAAAAGATGTCCAGTCCTGTCACATCATTTAGGACAGTTTTTCTTACTGCTCTCACAGTCAAACAAAAAATGGGGAAGCAACATTCAGTTTTTATACATTACATATCTGAAACAACCTCCCAAGACATAAAGTCTGTTCCAACACTCAGTTATTTTAAATTTAGATTTAAACAGTTTTCATCTAGCACTGCCTTTTATGAATTTTTTAATGAAAATGATATATTCATATCTTGCAATGCATTCTAATTGAACTGTAATTTTGTTAGTTTTATTATTTATTGTATTTTTATTATTAATTGCAATTTAATTTTAATTCTTGATTTTAGATTATTTAAACCTGTTTTATTTTAATCTGTTTATATCCTGTGTCTTTCCTCACTAGCAAAGCAAAAGTAATGACAAAAAAGTAATTTTGTTAATATATTTTTCAGGCTGTAACATTAACAGTGTGAGTGTGCAGTCCTCCTTGCCAAGGAAGGAGAGGCACCAGGGACCATGAGTGAGAATGGCCCTCATACGGAGGCGCCTATGTACTTTGAGGTGGAGGTGGATCACCTGGAGCGGGACGACGAAGAAGAAGAAGACAAGATCCACTTTGACAAAGATGATGACCTGATTCCTGAGCCTTCATCATCTTCTGGTCGGGTGTATGACCGCACCACAGTGCTCATTGAGCGGGACCCCATCCGGCTGGATGAGGAGGGCGAAGAAGAGGGTCACTGTGGAGGGGATGAAGATGGAGTCACCTTCTTAACTGAGGGGGAAGGTGATGGAGATGAGGAGGAGGGCTCTCTGGCCTTTATGGCCGACCCTGATGCCATGTCACAAGGTTATGTGCACCACACCATTTCTGCAGACCAGATCCAGTTCACAATAAATCCAGGTTCCACTCCCATGCCACGCAACATAGAGGGGGCCACGCTCACCCTGCACTCTGAGTGCCCAGAAACCAAGCAGAGAGAGGTAAGCCTAAATAAGTGCATCTCCTCCGAATGTAAAGGTATGCAGCTGCTACATGCTAATGAAATGTGAACGTGCCAATGAAAAGATACTTTATTCTTTGAATGCTCAGTATGAACACAGGTGCACACTGATTTCAATAAACAGCTTCCTTGAATATTTAGTAGCATTGCATATTGCATAAATTCATTTTCACACACAAGGTACTGCACACAGATGGGCAGCATTTCAGGAGAAGGTGGTCCATTATTACTGCTGAAGTAATGACTGGTTTTGTTTGGATATTGGTGAAGTAATAGCTTGGTTTTGTTTGTGGAAACTTATCTAGTTATTTCAACTCATTGCTGAATGGAACAGTAAATGGTTTAAAGATTTTTCTAACATGTCTGATGGTCTGACAAAATGAGACACAAAATGTTAACATTAATGTGCATAATGCACACGTATAGCAAGTTTGTGTGTGTGTGTGTGCGCGCGCGCATGCACATACACACACGCATGCTTGGTGAAATTTAAAGGGCAATTGCAGATGCATTAATGTGCTTGAAGGTATTTCCCAGCAGCTTCACATTGTTTTAGTCATTTGGCTTACATAGACATTATAACCACAAAGGTGGTGTTACCCTGCTTTCTTCCACAGTGTTTGCACCCAGTGTTAGACTGTTGCACACTCACAAACCACTCTGTCTCCTTTACATTCCTGTGGCAAATTAGCCATATTTTGACACCTATCCCAGCCTAATTAGTGGAAGTGTGCACTGGTAAAGCAGCTGATCTTGCCAAATGCAAGGCAGTGTGCTGAAGGACTGCAGGGAACAACTTAGTCCCCAGTCAACAAATTTCTTGGTACATGAACACACACATATCTACTGCTTCTTTTTTTATTTTGAATTTGTGAAGAGTTTGGAGCACTTTAACATGTCTGTAACTGATAACAAACACCAACAGCTAAATGGTGCAACACTGTTCTGTGGATTCTGAGTCATAAGAAAAGGACAACATCCCCTTTTTAGTGAAAATGTTTTGTTAACATGAGGTGGAGGGTACAAGGTACTGTCTTTATGAAGTATTGTGCCTGTTAGTATTTTTAACCGAACAGCATAGCATCAATAAACAAATAAAATATGAAATGTGATACTGTGTATGTGTGGAGGTTAGTTGTTTTTGATACTGCTTAACACCTAACACTGTATTTGTTTAATCTGGAGGTAATGTTGGATTGTCTTGATCACCATCATAGTGCTTGCATTGTTTGTTGGTAATGTTAAATTTGCCTAGATTGTTGTCTTCGTCATTGTTATGATATTATGACATAATTTGTTATGATGATTGCCTTGGGCACAGAATGAATTTCCAAGGGGGGAATAAACTAAACCCTGCTTCACTATCCTTAAACAGAAGTGCACACATTAGAAAATGAAAGACACCTGTAACAAAATGAAACTGAAATGTTACTATGATTTTGTGGCAGTCATGCTGCTGAATATGAGCTCACTGTGATGTGGTAAAAATAATGATGCTGTGTGCATTCAATCTAGTGTGTACTACAAAGAAAAAACTATTGGCAGCCCTGCCTTGGAAAAACATGATAGGAGTATAGAACACCAGGAGTGGCCATTTCCTGTGAACAACAAATAGAAGGTTCCATCCTCCTGTTCAACAGGTGTCAGAAAAAAATGTAACGATACTCTCGCATAACCATTTAATTTGTAATGTAATGGTATTTTCCACTATCCATGTGGGGGCTGGAAGTATACAGTACTCTCACACAGTGATCAAACTGGTGGTGAGGAAGAATCACAAAGGGAGAGATGTGGGAGATGAATACAGTACTGTGCTACAAGCTTAAGCAGGCTTCGCACTGTGGCTTTGCATGGATGTTTGCTTAACAAATGATCTCTCCCACATACTTAAAATCTAAGTGAATGGCTTTAGACTACCCTTCACTCAGATTAGTGTTTGTCAGTAAGGCTGAAAGAAAGTTTAATCAGCTTTTTGTCACATTCACTGTACATGCAACAGCTAAGAAAGTTATTTTTTCTTTTTACAGCAGATGTTACTTAATGTGTCTCAGCATGTGTTGTGAAATGAAGCATTGAGACTACTGGGATGCGTGAACAATGTGGGGTTTTCACTGATGCATCAGTTATTTTTCCTGCTGACAAAGGCATCACTGCGTGCACCATGAGGAATGTTGTCTTTAATGCTGTGTAAAAACAGTTTCTAGATGCATTAGTGCTTAATAACTGTTTTTATTTACAATTAGGGGAGTTTAACTGTTCTTTACAACTTTAGTTCTTTTGGGGTTTTTAGGGCTATTTTGTTGTTTGAATTTAGCACCAGGCCTGTTGTAAAAACTGTTCAGTTGTCTTTATTTTAGGTAAACAATGCCTCAAGTTTGGCCAAAACTATTTTAAACAAATATCCAGAAGGTTTCATAAACAGATATTAGAAGCCTATTTAATACTTTGTGTAAAAATGACATTTTTATTAAAATGAATTACCCAGTCTAATGCAGTCAGGGGTAAACATGCAGTCTTTTATCTCGAGAAATCTTGAGATCTTGGGAAATCAGTTTGAAATCATTATTATGATTACAATTATTATTAGTATTGTTATTATCATTACTACTACTATTATTTTACATCTCTAAGAGGATCAGGGCAGTAAGTTATAGGAATATCGTTAGCTGAAAAGGCGATTCTCCTGTCGAGGTGGCCAGCCACAAGCTTTCTCCTTCTTGCATTGTGTTCAGTACAGGGTAGCATTTTTCAAAGAACAGAATAGACTGCTTTTATCCACATTGCCCCGGGGCTTTGTGTGAGAAAAGAGCAGGAGACTGCCACACTGCAATGGAGATCGGTGCTGTGAAACAGAAATGGACGGGATGAATTGCATTGGGGGGTTAGGCATCATCACTGTCCTTTGTGCTCACTCTCTTCATGTGCTGACGGGTGGCTGAGTCATTGAGTTGAAGTCGCCTCTGAAAGGTCACACTGACTCAGACTGTCACTTCATCCAATGGCAAGGCTGGTTATTGCAGAGCTGAATCAACAAATTATTTTTCCTTTTCAAAATACAGGGTAGAGACTATTAAGTTTATGCTTATGAGTAATGTTATCTTTTTACTTAGCTTCAGTGTAATTTCATACACTATTGTTGGATTCAGTTTACAATGTTGAGATAATGACCTTCCCATCCTCTCCTTCCTCTGTCAGGTGAAGCGCTACCAGTGCATGTTTGAGGGCTGTACAAGAACGTACAGTACGGCGGGAAACCTGCGGACACACCAGAAGACTCATCGGGGCGAGTACACGTTTGTGTGTAATCAGCAGGGCTGTGGAAAGGCCTTCCTCACTTCTTACAGTCTGAAGATCCATGTCCGCGTTCACACCAAGGAGAAGCCGTTTGAGTGTGATGTGCAAGGCTGTGAGAAAGCCTTCAACACGCTATACAGGTGAGCCTACATGCAGCTTTGTTGTGTTGTGTGTGTGTCCTCATGGTACTGTATTTATGGAGCTGTGGGCATTATAAAGTAAGTTCAGATCATTATCATGGTCCTTCCATAAAGTGGATGGCCCAACAAGTGTTGTCACAACACAGAAATGTCTATGCATAATTTTCTTTTATATTTATCTGTTTTATTTAGAGTTGTTCTATGTGGGAGCAGTTAATTTTCTACTGATCACAGTTATTATTTTCAAGTAATATCCTTTGTACCCTGCAAATCTCAAATTCAACTTTGTAATTGAAATGAGGAAATTAATTTGGTCATATGTGCAAAAATACACAGTAAGTAAAAGTAAAACAATAGAAAGGGTCTATAAAAGGAACAGGACCAAGAAAAAGCAGAACATTGTTATCTCTGGGTGCCATGTTCTTTCAAGTTCTTTCCTTAACTGCTGGCCCAATTACCCTACGTAAAAAAAATTGTCTAAATCCTGTAGTTTTGTTATGTTGTAATTTTCTGCACCTCTTGGCGGCTTAACTGTAACTTTAAAGACATTGTGTGTGTTTGTTTTAAAAGTCTGCTGGCTGAAATGGCTGCGATTGATGCTGCATACAATGAGTAACTGTACCATTGAAAATTCTGAATATATAAGTTATATAAGTATAAAAAAACATATTTTTGACTACACCAGGCCAGTTACAGTCAGGGAGAACAAGAGGTGACACAGCTGATGTCTTGACACCTTGATGGAGTATGGCAGGTTAACAAATGAACAGAGTTATAACTCCCTGTGAGCTTTTATCACTAAAATACATTTAAGGTCAAACATAAGAAAATAATAATGATCATTCTATTAGGTGACTGTTTTGACAAGTACCAGACATGTTCTTTGTCCATAGCATTTTCATTATTTAGATTATGCTGTGATCACAACCAGTTCACATCAGAGCCTTCTGGTCCATATTGGTTCAGTTGCTATGACAACATGTCTGGGGCTTGGTGGAGCTGTGCCACTGGCAACAACTGCTTGTCAGAGGCTGTTACTCAGGGCAGGAAACCAATGCCAAACATGGGTGGATTGTCTTTTTGATAACCGTTTACTCTTGCCTCCACCCAGATTCTCTTATACAACCACCACTGAGAAAGTGTGCATACTTTAATCAGTTGTTGTCCCTGTCTGATTACATTCTGTCTCCATCCATGTAGACATTCTTAAATTAAGTGCAGCAGCAATCAACACACGCTGTTTAAAGCAGCTGTGCTTAGTTTCTTTCTCTTTGCATGTCTCCCATTGTGGTTTAATGAAACAAACTTGATTTCCTCTGCAGACTAAAAGCACACCAGAGACTTCACACAGGCAAGACATTCAACTGTGAATCGGAGGGATGCACAAAGTACTTTACCACACTCAGTGACCTGAGGAAGCATATTCGCACACACACTGGGGAGAAGCCATTCCGGTGAGAATTACCATTACCACAACAGGATTAACCCATTCCCAAGTAGAAAGTGAAGGAGCATCAATGTTAAAAATATGTTAATAGATGCTCACAGGCAGCTCTTTTAGTGTGGAATAATGTTTGCTTGTATCACAAGAATGCAATTGTTTTTTCATAGTGAAACATTTTTGCTCACAGTGCCTTTTACTGTGGGAGCTTCACTTTGGTTAGACAGAAGCCCAAAATAGTGCTGAGATTCCAATTAGTTTCCCATCTGCTTTACAGATATGTAGTTAGCTATATGTCTATGATGAGTCAAGGGTGCTCACTGTTCTAGCAGAGACATGGCTTTACTGTATATAAATTATTAAATCCACTGTTTTGAAAAATTATCACTGTCCATTTGCATCTGGTCTCAAGCATTATTGTCATTATTTTGTTTGTCTTATTTGTCTTATTGTTTGTTCTTATTTTGTCTGCCTCCCTCTTTGTCTTTGTCTTCAGGTGTGACCATGACGGCTGTGGCAAAGCTTTTGCTGCAAGTCATCACCTAAAAACACATGTACGGACTCACACAGGTACACATTAGTGGTTTGTTTTATGTAACCTTGATTTATCTAGGGTAGCTTGAACAAGGACATGTTTGCTTTTCAGCTATGCTTTGCATTTAAATTATTATCAGTGCCTCCCACACAGAGTTAATTTGAGTAGCCTAACCAAATAGATTTTTACAGCAACCAAAAACATTTTTCTTTTTTATTTACTATGTCTTCTTTTAGAAAGTCTGCGTAGAAATGTAGTTAAAAGAGCAGCAATTAAAAAGTGTGTGTTGATGTGCACTTGCATTGATTGGACAAATATCTTCCCCAATTGGAAGTTCCCAGTTAGACAGCTGAGGCCAAGTTCTTTGCTCAAATGATTGTGTGCTTGTTCAGGGGGTGGGGGGCAGTCTCAGCAAAGTGCCAGCTACTCCTGTTCAGGTGGTTTCTAACATGTGTTTCCTTTTATATGTAGTTTTTTATATGGGTGATTCTCCCAAACTGCAGATGAAAGAATGTAATAAAGCATCAGACCAACCTATCAAGTTCCTAAACTTGGTTCTGTTCAAGTGAAGGAGAAATGACCTTTGCTTTTAATGCTATGTATCCAATAAAACCTCCTTTCAGCTCAAAACAAAAGTGAAACATTAGAACGTGTGCTCAAGCTGCCTGTGATTCCAGTTGTGCACTTGCTATAAATCAATAAAATAAAATATTAAAATCAAAGCAATAATGGGCATTGTCTGACTGACATGGCGATAGTTACTGGTTTCCTCCAAACTCAAAAATAAAGTAGCAACTTTTATCTTAGCTGACAGTAAAGAGTAGCTCTTAACCTTCAGTCTCTGTCTGTATTCTTCCCTCTCTGTCTCTGTAGGGGAGAAGCCATTCAACTGTCCTAGTGATGGCTGTGAGAAGACTTTTAGCAGCCAGTACAGTCTGAAAAGTCACATCCGGGGCCACGACAAAGGACAGGCCTTCAGCGTCACCCTCACCCACCCGCTCTCTGAAGTGAGTCACAGCACAGCAACTTCTCGGTGTTCTCCATGTACAACCTGAGAGCAATATGACACTGTCGTCCTCATATTATTTACTTTATTAAAAACCTGTGATTTTTTTTTTTTTTACACTTTTTACACTTACAATTTTTTTTTTATTCTCTCACTCGCATAATACAGAGATCATGTTAACCAAAAACAAAAGCTGCACACCTGCATATTGTGGACATTTACAGATGTCTTTAAGTTAGAGAGGTTCACACTACACTGCATTAACCATGGTGAATCTTTATGATTTATTATGAAAAAGAAGCTTTAGATCAAATGATTCATCTTCCTCAAAAGCATAATCATTAATTGTCATTATGTCATTATTTACTTGTTTACTCTTTGTGCTCAACTGTTCATTTTGAAACCTATTTTTTTATATTAACATACAGAAGGTGATCCTACTGATCCCTACTTCACCCCATAGCAGTGGCAAGTTTAATTAACCTATTCATCTCTTAATTACAGGATGCAAATCACTCGCTGTGCCTCAGTGACTTGAGCCTCATCTCTACAGACTCAGAGCTACGAGAGAACATCCATAATGTAAGTCTGGCCTTTGCCTCAGTGTTGTCAAGCAGACATTGGATTGAAGATGTAGGGGAGCTGTCATAGTCAATAAAGATTTTTTTTTACATCTAAGCTCAGTTGTCATTCTGTATCCACTGTAATAAGAATTGAGAGCTAAACAAGAGAGTTTCTAGCTGTTGTAATACTTAGTAAGGTTACTTGATGTATTCATTAAATCTTTTGTTAATTTTAATGTTATTACAGGCTCAAAATCTGGACCTCAACAATGTGACCCCAGTGAAAATCTTTGAGCTCATGTTCCAGAGTCCTGAAAATAGTGTCAGCCAAGATGATGCCCATCACAACGGTAAGAACATTTCAAAGCCTGTCAGCTTAAATTGTGTCAAAGGTCCTTGTTCTGAAGGAGTTTTTACTTCCTTCCTCAGAGAGCCTTGCTGAACCCTTCAGCCTAGAGACCTCTACCCAACCAGGAGTGACTGATGCTTCATCTCTCATCTCTTTCTCTATCAATCCTACCTCCTCATCTTCCTGTTCCCACACAACTGCAGTCATGGAGGCTTCTTCCCAGCTCAGTCAGAGCTCTTCCTCTCAGGCCTCCACCTCTGCCTCTGTCTCTGCTACTGTCAGCTCTGCCCAGCCTCCCTCTTTCATGCAACTAACCGGTCCTCAGCAGATCTCCGATGTGCCTGCTCAGGCTTCTGTCCAAGCATCAAACCATGCCCCCTCCCAGCACTATGTGACACTGCCACCCACATTCCTGCAGCCTGACAGTGCCACCCAGACCACTCCTCTACCACCACCCATCTCTGCTCCTCTTCCAGTGGCTCCAGCACTGACCACCACAGAAACAGGCACTGCTGCTGTGTCTGTGGTTGCAGCCACCACAACAGATGCTCTGGCAGCTGTGGCTCAACCTGTGCCTTTGGCCAACAACCCTGTCCCCAACTCTGGCCCTGGTCTGGCTCCCACCCCTGCCACCATCACTATAGCACCCACCCAGAACCTGCTTCAGCCCAGCTTGGTCATGGCTGACCAGAACCTTCAGTGGATCCTCAGCAGTGCTGCCAGCAGCCAGCAGAACCCAGAGCAGGCAGTGAGTAATGCTCCCACACAATATTTGTACAAAGAAATGGTGACTTGATTTGTACTAGTCTTGATTTTGTTATGTATTTTCAGTTTAAAACACACAGTGCCATATGCATTGCAGCGAAAATTAGGGATTTCTTGTGTTCTAATCCTAAATTTGTTCATGTGAGAGGATTAGCAAATAAAACCGTTCCATGCACTTCAGTAATAATGCATAAACTGTTAACAAATTATCATGTAAAGTAGAACAGTGGGGAAAGCTATAGCTTTTAGAAATGGTGTCACTTATTTACATTAAGTGTAGCTAAGGAATACCAACCAGATCCCTTCGATACAGTAGGGAATTCTGATGAATAACCTCATGAATACTGTTGTGTTTCCCGGCATATTTTATCCTGCTTGAACTGTGGTGTTCATTGTTTGTTCAGTCACATCAAGGAGCTCCAAAAGTGGAAAAGGTTTTCTTCACTACAGCCATACCAGTAGGAGGAAATGCTGGTAAGTCAGTGTGTAGTGAATTTTTATGTTTATTCATTTTATGGACTTTGGCCAAAAGACTGTGATGAAATCATGAATGTGTTTTGCCATCCAATCGAGTACTTATATTTAATAGGATTAATTAGATAGTATTGTTATATTGTTATTGTTATATTATAGTAGATTGGTCTCCAGAGAGCTCTACTAAGATACTGTCACAATGCTTTCATTAAACAAACGCAATTCAAATTTTCTGACTCTCAGTTAATGCACCTTGCTAGAACAGTTAAACAGTATCCCATCATAATATTTAATAACAAAACTCACAAGTAACAGAACAGGACCAATAACATTCAAAACATTCAGGAACTATAAGAAGAGAACAAGTAATGTTGGGCAGATAGCAGAAGATCAGGATGACTGACCAGTTTAAACACATCAAGTACTGCATGTCCCTCCACAGTGTTAGGGTCATGATCAAAATAGGGCTGTATAGTGATTGGTTTTCAGTATTGATAAATGAATCAAATATATTTGATTAATTGTTTAGTTTTTAAAATGTCAGAAAATTTTCCACACCCAAAGAGTTGTCTTTCAAAGTTGGACCAACAGTCCAAAACAGTCTCTATAAAAAAGAGGAAACCTCACATTTGAGAAGCAGAAATTTGACATTTTTGCTTGATGAATAACAATAACAAAATGGTTTCTCTTTTCTTTTCTCATGATTGTCTAATCAGCTAAACAACTTCTTGTTTCAACTTTGATATTATCCTTATTAACCCCTCATCACATTCTGTACCGAGATGTTTTATTTGTTGATCTGTATCTGTACATGTGGCGTTAACTCTCAGCCCACAACTGATGAATTCCTCCTTCCACTAAGCAGTTAATAATTTCTCAACCTCTGCATTGGTCTCTAACTTTTTTATCCTAAATATTTTCCTCTGCAGGACATTTGGAAAGTAAATTACATCAACTTGCAGACTTTGTTTTTTTTGTTTTTACTTTTTTTCTGTGAATTTATTTTTTTGGTCTGTTTCAGGTAACTCAGTCCAACAGATCGGCCTCAGCCTGCCAGTCATCATCATCAAACAGGAGGAATCCTGCCAGTGCCAGTGTGCCTGCAGGGAGTCTGCTAAAGACAAGAGTTCAAAGAGTGCCTCCTCCATCGTTCCTGCCCCAGCACAGCAGCAACCATCAGAGCCCCCTCCTCCCCCACTATCAAAGCCCCCAGATCCTCCCCACCATCCAGCCACCTCATCTTCCTCATGCTGTCTCCCTGAGTCTTCCTCCAAGGTGGGTGAGGTGAGCCTGGAGGCCCCCTCTTCCTCCTCCTCCTCAGCTCAGACTTTCTCCACTATAGTTAGCAGCACTGCCTCAACCAACCCTCCCTCTTCTGACGGGTTAGCCAATATGGACGTCTCAGACTTCCTCTCCCTGCAGAGCCCTGAGACAGCTGCCAACATTGAGGCGTTGCTGCTGGTTGCAGATGACTTTAACATGGCCACTGATGGCAATCCTTAGAAGAGCTGCCTTCTGGCACCATGTGTTTGTCTGTTGCACCCACTCATCCACAGGCATTGATTCCACCTACATCTCAAGTCACTCTCCTCAGTGACGCCTCGTCTTTCTCCCTATATATTGTGTGCTTTGAACCCCTGTATCTGCAGTGCATTCTGTTCTGTATGGCATTGTGCAACATATATACACAATCTATGAATACTTTCTCTGTTGAGACTCATTGCAGTAGTTGAGTTTTTAGAAACAGGATTAGTTTGCATATTGACATTTAGCAATGTTAATGCTAATGCTAATTTACACAGGGAAAAAGCAGTAGGTCCTTTGTTAAAAACATAATCAAACTGTATATAATAACCTTTGATATCCACTCTGATCTGAATGAAATAAGTGAGTGTCCAAGCACTGATAACGTAAGAGTTCCATTTTCCTGGCTTGAAGGTCACACACCTGAGCAGGAAAACAAAGCTTGTCTGTATATCCTTGTACTGTACTACAGGTCCTAACAACAAATGCTTAAAGCTGATATGCAGCTGATCAGAATGCACTGTATATTAGAGGAATTCACTATAATTTTATCAAGCGTTGCTCCCAGCAGGAATTTGGAGGGGTTGGCTACATAGCCCCTCATATGGCTGTCACACAATATAAAGTGACTTCCTCAGTATTTTTGTTTTTTAGGAAGACTAGTGTAGTCCAGAAAATGTGATGATTCTTTTCTACTTCTTTTGACAGTTATTTACTAATTGAGAGAAGAACCTGTGATCAGATTTGCCTGTCTCTTTAAGTGAAATTAAGTCAATACATCAATAAGTTGCCTAACTTAAACTAATTTAAAATTGTACATGTTAATTTATTTAAATGCTTGATTCTGTCATTATACTGGTAATACTATTATCTTCAAGATAGCAGAAAAATCTATTAATTTATTCCAATCACTTGTATTTTTAAGTTGAGCTGTTTTTGTTACTGAATTGCTTTCCTTTTAAGAACGTAATGGGTCTTGCTAAAAGCAAGTTGGAGTAAAGAGGCACCTATAGTAGACTGCACAGTGAATTATCCTCTAGGATCTGCTTGTTTGCAAAAATTGTCCACAATGAAACAGTAATGAACTACTGTCAACATCCCATGTTTTATAGGGTTGTGGCCCTCTCAGGGATGCATCAAGTCATAACTGATCCTGGTTCCCTTAATTTGTTACTCAGACATGCGTTTTCCTAATAAGATGCCCCACACTTGCAGTAGCCCTACGTTTTGCTGCACTCTCCCCTGTTTATTGCACACTGACTTGTAAAGTGAGTAATCTGATTGCTTGTTAGCCTAGGTGCAGCACCACTACAGACTTTTTGTATACAACTGCTGTAAAGTAGCATTTGAAAGATGGTGTCCTGGCAACAGTGTATATACAGTACAATTTAGTGTAAACATCTTTGAGAAACTTGTAGATTATTCTAGAATTTGTATTTTTGTATAGACTTTTGAATTACTAACTCTCAGAGTTTGGAGCTAATGTATACCCTCTATCCTTGCATTCTTTCCCCATTCACATTCATGCAGAATAGTTTGAATTTTGCTGTGTCTAGATGAGTGGTTCTATAAGCAGCTGGGCTTCTGTACAGTCCCTATAGTATCAAAATATATGTAACACATAGCCCCTTGCTCAGAGTATAATTTAACAGTATTGTTTCACATGGGACACAATGCAATGATGATGGAGCGAAGGCATTTTGCCCTGTATACTAGAGTGTAGAGCTACTTGGCCTTACAATATTAACTGTTATGAGCCTTCCTTGCCTTGACAGTCTCTGCAACAGACTTGCCATTGACATGTTGACATATTCATCTTCATTGAGTCTCAAGCAATCACTTCCAGCAGGGGATCACACTGAGGCAAAATCACTGAGACAGAAAAGCTTGATCTGCATTGTTTTCCAGCTGTAATGTTTGTAAAGTCACAAATGGATATGCAGCATTTCCAAAAAATATATGGTGGAGTGGAGCTTTCCCACGATTCACACGTGCCAAGAAGGCAGATATGTTGTTAACGGCTCCAGTCATATTTTGTGCTCAAAACCATTCCACATATGCAGTATTTGATATTTGGAGTGTCTAAATCTGAACTTTGCTCCATTGGATTGCAAAATTCACCATTTCCGTCTCAAGGCACTTGGTGAAATTACTTCCAGGAGTCAAGGTCATGCCATCAATATATACTCTTATACATGCATACTGTCAATGAACACAACTATGCAATTTTAAGTGGCATTCACAAGTTTAAATACTGACTCCAAGACAAAAAAAAAAAAATTTATTCCTCCCTCCATGACAGTCTGCTACAAACTTATATGCAGAAGTCCAGTGGTGAAAGTTGCCTTTCCAGTGCATACATATTGAGCATGCTTCTTGAACTCCAGTTTATTGTATTTCATATTTCACATTTGGAATGGTGTGAATCTGGTCTTTGTAGTGTGTCCAAGTACTGTTCCAATGAATGTTGCACCACAGCTATCCCTTGTACATGCTGTTTTGCCTCTGAGGTAACTGGTTTAAAACCAACTGGATTTGTTTGAAGGAGTACTTAGTGAATGAATGATTCTGTTTTAAGAATTATTTTTGGTCAAATGTAAGCAGCTTTTCCTTTTTACACTTTATGGGTACATGTTTCATTTGGGCTCACCCCATTTATGTAGTCATCTCAGCCTTTCACATATTTAAATTTGACATGTGGATGATTTGTTGGCTCATCTTCACCAATGAAAGTCGAACTTACAGCTGAAGTTTACCTGAAACGGTAAACATCAGCATATCACTGATGGTGGCATTTGTTTGGAAGCAGATTGTTTGTTCACAAATGTATAGCCAGAGTGTTGTTGGAAATTGAGATCCAGAATTTCTGCCATCGCCAACATTTTTCCAAATGGCCAATATTTAAAAAGAAAAAAAAAAAAAAAAAAAAAAAGGAAACTATATGCTTCCAAAGTAATGTCTTGACACCCAAAGAGTGTGGAATTGTTAAGGATTTGTATTTTTTAAAAGAATGTATTATGTGAAAATGTTTGCTTATGCTTGTTTCGTATAAAGTAATATGATAAATAACTTTCTGAATTGAGAGCAATATAATACTAATAAAACCTTATCCTTGTCACTGATTTCTTCCCCCCCCTTCCCCAATTAAATGAAAAATTTGACAGTTTATTATGATTTAAATGCATTTAATAGCATGAAAGAAAACAAAAACAAAAGCATGTGTTCTCTTTAGGTCACTTGTAGGATGGTAAGGGCACATCCTGGAGAGATTTCCTCTGTAGAACATAATCAAGGTCAACTTTAAAAATCTGCAAGAAGTCACAAGGGCCCAAAATAAAAAAAACCGAACTCACCGTTAGAACTTTGCGCAGATCCTTCAAGTCAGTCATAACTCTGTTACACAGGGTTATCCTCTCAGACAGGGTGATCAGTCTGTCATTAACTTCCTCCAGTTCCTTTGGAGGACAAAACGTGTTTGTCACCAGTTAATTTGGACAAGCATCATTAGTTCAAGATTACGATGTCTGACCTGTTTGACTGTTGAAACGCCATCATCAGTCTGACGAGTTACTGCATCTTCTGCGCAGTCTAGAACTGTTTGACAAAGACACTTAGAAAACAAAGAATATATAACTAAGAAAGTGAAGATGTCATACGTGTTACCTGTGTCAGCGGGCATGGCGCTAGACATATTTGTTCTGTAGACTCGTCATTTCCATGTTGTCGTGTGCCTTTGTTTTTAAGCAGGTGCCCACAGGTGACTTCAATTTTCCTAATTAGTAGGTGATGATGAGGGCAGTCACGTCACGAAGAACATGCGTCAGTGTTCTTACTTAAATACCTGGAAATGCATAGGCTACATATTTCCAAAACAACACATACAGAATTTAAGGAGCACTGGAATGTCCATTTATGTGTATAGCAAAACCATGTACCCTAATATGAAACTTTACAATAGCCTAATAAAAATATGTCAGTTCGGGGTGTCGAGTGGCGCAGTGGGTTGAGCAGGCTCCCCATATGTGGAGGCTACAGTCCTCGCTGCAGTCGGCCCCGGTTCGAATCCCGCATCGGATGGCCCTTTACTGCATGTCATTCCCCTTCTCTCTGCCTCCCCATTTCCTGTCTCTCTCTACTCTGCTATCCAATAAAGATACACAAAGCACAAAAAAATATACTAAAAAAAAAAAAAACATGTCAGTTGTTCATGGATGATAAACATGTAATGTGATACGTTTTTACCATGAACTGGAGAACTAATAGAAGCCCAACAGCATATATGAGATTTTACATATCCAGAACATATCCATACCAAGATTTTGAGTGGGCAGAATTGTCCCTACCAATATTTGAGTGAACTCAAATATTGAGTGAACTCAAATATTGTCATAAAAATGTGATGAGGCATAAAATGTCATGAAAATGACATAGTATAAGAAGGCATAAAAACGTCATAGTATAGTAAGACATAAAATGTCAAAAAACATCATAGTATAGTAAGGAATAAAATGTCATAAAAACATCATAGTATAGTAAGGCATAAAACGTCATAGTATAGTAAGGCATAAAATGTAATGAAAACGTCTTAGTATGGTATGGCATGAAAATGTAAAAAGATTTCATAAAAATGTCATAGTATAGATATGCATAAAAATGTTAAAAAAGGTCATAGTATAGTAAGACATAAAATGTTATAGAAACGTCATATTATAATAAGGTATAAATTGGCAAAAAAGTCATACTTCAATAAGGCATGTATTGTCAAAAAACGTCACAGTGTAAAAGGGCATAAAAACATCATTGTATAGTAAGGCATAAAATGTAATAAATACGTTATATTATATAGTAAAGAATGAGAATGTCAAAAAATGTCATAATATAGTGAGGCATAAAATGTCATAAAAACATCATAGTATAGTAAGGCATAATAACGTCATAGTATAGTAAGGCATAATAACGTCATAGTATAGTAAGGCATAATAACGTCATAGTATAGTAAGGCATAATAACGTCATAGTATAGTAAGGCATAATAACGTAAGGTAAAAGTAAGGCATAAAAACATCATACTACAGTAAGGCATAAAAATTTCAAAAAACGTCATAGTATAGTTAGGTATAGAATGTCATTAGAACATTAATGTATATAGCAAGGATTAAGAATGTCACAATATAGCAAGTCATAAAAATGTCATAGTATAATGAGGCATGAAATGTAATAAAAACGTCATGTTATAGTATGGCATGAAAACATCATAGTATATTAAGGCATAAAATGTTAAAAAAACGACATAGTATAGTAAGACATAAAAATGTCATAGTATAGTGAAGCATAAAATGTCATTAAAACGTCATAGTATAATAAGGCATGAAAACGTCTTCCTATAGTAAGACATAAAATGTGATAAAAATATCATAGTATAAAAGGGCATAAAAACGTCAAAAAACGTCATAGTATAGTAAGGCAGAAAATGTCAAAAAAACGTCATAGTATAATAAGGCATAAAAACGTCTTCCTATAGTGAGGCATGAAATGTCATGAAAACGTCAAAGTATAATAAGGCATAAAAACGTCAAAAATCGCCATAGTATAGTAAGGCATAAAATGTAAAAAAAAACGTCATAGTATATTAAGACATAAAAACGTCATCCTATAGTAAGGCATAAAATGTCACAAAAATGTCATAGTATAGCAAGGCATAAAAATATCAAAAAACGTCACAGTATAGTAAGGCATAGAAATGTCATAAAAACATCATATTATAGTACGGCATGAATTGTCAAAAAAATGTCATGGTATAGTAAGGCATAATAACGTCATAGTATAGTAAGGCATAAAATGTCATAAAAACGTCATATTATAGTAAGGTATGAATTGTCAAAAAAATGTCATGGTATATTAAGGCATAATAACGTCATAGTATAGTAAGGCATAAAATGTCATGAAAACGTCATAGTATAATAAGGCATAAAAACGTCAAAAAACGTCATATTATAGTAAGGCATAAAAATTTCAAAAAATTTCATAGTATAGTAAGTCATAAAAACGCCAAAAAAGGTCATAGTATAGTATGGCATAAAATGCCAAAAAAGGTCATAGTATAGTATGGCATAAAATGTCATAAAAACGTCATATTATAGTAAGGTATGAATTGTCAAAAAAATGTCACGGTATAGTAAGGCATAATAACGTCATAGTATAGTAAGGCATAAAATGTCATGAAAACGTCAAGGTATAATAAGGCATAAAAACGTCACAGTATAGTAAGGCATAAATTATCAGAAAAACGTCATATTATAGTAAGGCATAAAAATGTCAAAAAAGGTCATAGTATAGTATGGCATAAAATGCCAAAAAAACGTCATAGTATAGTATGGCATAAAATGTCATAAAAACGTCATATTATAGTAAGGTATGAATTGTCAAAAAAATGTCACGGTATAGTAAGGCATAATAACGTCATAGTATAGTAAGGCATAAAATGTCATGAAAACGTCAAGGTATAATAAGGCATAAAAACGTCACAGTATAGTAAGGCATAAATTATCAGAAAAACGTCATATTATAGTAAGGCATAAAAATGTCAAAAAAGGTCATAGTATAGTATGGCATAAAATGCCAAAAAAACGTCATAGTATAGTATGGCATAAAATGTCATAAAAACGTCATATTATAGTAAGGCATAAAATGTCATAAAAACGTCATAGTGTAGCAAGGCATAAAATGTCAAAAAACGTCATATTATAGTAAGGCATAAAAATGTCAAAAAATTTCATAGTATAGTAAGTCATAAAAACGCCAAAAAAGGTCATAGTATAGTATGGCATAAAATGCCAAAAAAGGTCATAGTATAGTATGGCATAAAATGTCATAAAAACGTCATATTATAGTAAGGCATAAAATGTCATAAAAACGTCATAGTGTAGCAAGGCATAAAATGTCAAAAAACGTCATATTATAGTAAAGCATAAAAATGTCATAAAAACGTCATAGTATAGTAATGCATAAAAACGTCAAAAATCATAGTATAGTAAGGCATAAAAATGTCAAAAAACGTCATATATTAAGGCATAAATTGTCAGAAAAACGTCATAGTGTATTAAGGCATAAAAACGTCATACTATAGTAAGGCATAAGAATGTCAAAAAACGTCATAGTATAGTAAGGCATAAAAATGTCAAAAAAGGTCATAGTATAGTATGGCATAAAATGTCATAAAAACGTCTGATTATAGTAAGGCATAAAATGTCATAAAAACGTCATAGTATAGCAAGGCATAAAAATGTCAAAAAAACGTCATAGTATATTAAAGCATAAAAAAATCAAAAAACGTTACAGTATAGTTAGGCATAAAATGTCAAAAAAACGTCATCCTTTAGTAAGGCATAGAATGTTACAAAAACGTCATATTATAGTAAGGCATGAATTGTCAAAAAAATGTCATAGTATAGTAAGGCATAATAACGTCATAGTATAGTATGCCATAAAATGTCAAAAAAAGTCACAGTACAGTAAGTCATAAAAACGTCATAGTATTTTAAGGCATAAAATGTCAAAAAAACGTCGTAGTATAGTAATGCATAAAAATGTCAAAAAAGGTCATAGTATAGCAAGGCATAAAAATGTTAAAAAACGTCAGAGTATAAGTATGGCATAAAATGCTAAAAAAGGTCATAGTACAGTAAGGCATAAAAATTTCAAAAAAACATCATAGTATAGTAAGTCATAAAAATGTCAAAAAAGGTCATAGTATAGTATGGCATAAAATGTCATAAATACGTCATAGTATAGTAAGTCATAAAAATGTCAAAAAAGGTCATAGTATAGTATGGCATAAAATGTCATAAATACGTCATAGTATAGTAAGGCATAAAAATGTCAAAAAAACGTCATAGTATAGTAAGGCATAAAAAAGTCAAAAAACGTCATAGTATAGTAAGGCATAAAAATATTAAAAATGTCACAGTATAGTGAGGCATAAAATGTAATAAAAATGTCATAGTATAGTATGGCATAAAATGTAATAAGAATGTCATAGTATAATAAGGCATAAAAACGTCAAAAAACGTCACAGTATAGTAAAGCATAAAATGTCAAAAAAACGTCATAG